GGGGGGGGGGTCGGGAGCCTAAGGAATGCCTGGAAGCAGAAGCTGGACACCGCGGGGCGTCCTGGGCCTCAGTCTCCGCTCCCTTCCCTCCACCCCTCCCTCCTCAGGCCTCAGCTCCTGCAACAAGATAGCCGGAGAGAGAGCGCCTGCCCCAGTCTCCCTGGCCGTCCGTTCTCTGTGCCCCAGCCCTGAACCGCTCATGTCGGCCCAGGACCAGAGGGGGCAGTTCCCAGGCTGGGCCTCAGTAGCCACCACCCCTGCCGCCTGCTTTCCTTTGATCACATCTTTCTGCTCTTATCTGTGAACCATTTTAAACAAGCCTATTTTGGGAACACCCAGACACCGCATGGGCCCATTCTACAGATGAGGCAACCGAGGCTGAGCGAGGTGCAGTGACTTGCCTGAGGACACACAGCTAGAGAGTGACAGCAGGGTTCACACCCAACCCTCTCCGACTCCAAAAATCACGTGGCTGCCCGCGAGGGTTTCCTTTTTTCTTCTGCGTCAAGATGAACTTGTTCTATGGCCCTGCCGATGCCCTCGGGTGCGTGGGGAAGAGCACTGATCGTCCGATGAATAAATGAAGGCGTCAGAATGTGTGCGGCCCTAGCGCCCAGCCATCTGGGGCCCCGCGTCTAGCAGAGCCCGACGCCTCAGTTCCCGTTGACAGCCCTGTGATCTCCTGTCTTCAGCACAATCCCCACATGTCAGAACCTGATTTTAATTAGCAGCAATCTTCGGGCGATCGCAGCCCCAGATCCATCTGGAGCTCGGGAGGCAGCAGCTGTTTATTCAGCGCAGCGGCCAGAGGCAAGCGCGGCCAGGGCTCCTCCAGCGGCCGGAGCCCACACCGCTCGCTCCCCGGGGCCTGTGACTTCCCGGGAGGGGAGGCAGCCGAGCTCCCTGGGTGCCCTCCCCCCGGGGGGGCGCGCCTGGCAGTGTGGGCACCTAGAGGGGGTGGGCTGGGGCCGCAGATGCCAGAGGTTTTGACGCTGAGGAATGGAGCGTGTCGCTGGGGGTCAGCCGCCGGGACTTGCGCTCACTGGTTCTGGGCTCCAAGGTGGGCACAGGCTCATCGGTGTCCCTTTTGGAGGCTTTTCCAATGACCCAATTATCTCAGCCCTGGTCTAGCCTGTACCTCAACCTGGTAACACCCCAGCCTTGTTAAAGCGTCTGACAGCAGCTCGTCGCCCAGAAGCTGCCGGCATCTGAGCCGCCGAAGAAAAGGCTCCTTTTCGCTGCCAATTAGAAGGTCGTCGGCATCGGGACCCGAGACCTGTGCTGACCCGGGAAGAATCTGCATTCCGGCTGTAATTTCCTCCAGCCGTCCCCACCAGCGGGGGCGTGACTATGTGAGAGGGCCCCCGGGTGGCTCACAGGCCATTCGCCTTAACTCACGCCTGCAGGCCCTGCTCGCGCCTCTCACTCGGCCTCCCGGCAGCCGAGCCGCGTTGGAGGTGAGCGGTGTTGCTCCCTGCTCCCATTCCACTTACAAACTAGGGGCCTGAAGCCTCACGTCCAAGGTTGTGCATCTATTAAGCGTCAGAGCAAGGATATAAACGCCGGTGACCAGACCCTGGAGCCCAAGGCCAACGGGGACAGGCTCCGGGGCCTTTCACCTGCCCTCGCTTCCTCCACTTGTCCACCAGGCCCGCCTTCTCGGCCTCACAACTGCTCGCAATGCCGGCCGCCAGAGCAGCGGCCTGAGGATTTTTCACAAAAACTAGGTCGGTCTGGAAACGAACGCACGCCACTGACCTCGGAGCATGTGTGACCCAAGAACACAGACAGAGGTTCAAACACTTCGCTGTGTAGAAAGCCTGGACCTGACCGCTGGCCGGGGGACACGGCACTGACCCCCAGGAGCGGCTGCCGGGAAGGGCCCGGCATGCCTGGGGCAGCCAGGGAGGGGGGCCCAGCAGGCTCTGCCCTGGTTCTCCCTGGCACTGGCCCTTTTGCCCGCCCCGGATGGAGCCAGACACTGTGTCCCCAGCCACCACAGTCAGCATGCTTCAAGGCCGGTGACACGCAGGGGCTTTGGTTTCAGAAGTGGCTCGAAACGTTGGCTGAGGCGCTAAGGAGGCTCAGAGGTGCCCTGACTCTACCCACTGCCCTCCCCGCCCTCCTGGCCCGTTGGCCTATGGAAGGCGGCTCAGGGGAGCCACCGGGGCCCCTCCACCGAGACCGCGGTGCAGCTGAGAAATTGATAAGCCTCTTAGGTGCGTGCGGCGCAGGGAAAATAGTTCGACAGAGTCAGATTATTCATCAAAGCCGGCGTCATGCAGGGTTGCCCTTCCTTGGGGCGCCACCAACCGAGTCGGCCTTTCTTAAAAATAGAAGGATTGTTACGGGCCCTGCATCTACCAGGCACCAAGGAGGCCGTTCTCAAATGTCAAGTGCATCTTCACGAGGGTCCCGGAGTGGAGCCGGCAGGACCTGGCCCCACGCTGCGTAGCAGCTTCTCCCCGGGCTGCCCAGGAGATGACATCTGGACTGAGGCCGCTGGCGCCGGAAGGAAGGAAGGGGAGGTGGAGAGCATCCCACGCAGAGGAGGCGGGCGGCCGGGCCGGGCCCTGAGCAGGAGGCTCGCTCTTCAGAAAGCACCGCTCCCTCCTCCGGGACCCCGGGAGGGCCCCAGGCCCACCACCCCTGNGCGCCGGAAGGAAGGAAGGGGAGGTGGAGAGCATCCCACGCAGAGGAGGCGGGCGGCCGGGCCGGGCCCTGAGCAGGAGGCTCGCTCTTCAGAAAGCACCGCTCCCTCCTCCGGGACCCCGGGAGGACCACAGGCCCACCACCCCTCGCTAACTTGGGGCTGTGTTCCTGCGCTCTGGCCGGGCCGCGCTCCCTCCAGGTCCCCTTCCCTCCTGGGTCCCTGAGCACTGTATGGAGGAGCCCACCCAGGAGCGAGGAGCTTGCGTTGAACTTTGCTTGAGAAGAAATAAACTTTGTGTTAAGCCACTGAGGTTTATTTGTTGTTGCAACATAGCCTATCCCGGGTTGGCTGATTGAATGAATGAATAAAAATGCGTTTCCAGAGCTTTACGTGGTCAGCAGCGTGGAGCTTGGGAGGGAGGAATTCTCCACGTGTAAATGTCAGCTAAGATCACAATAACCGGGCCCTCAGAGGTCACCCAGAAAAGTCACCTCCACGTAGGGTTTCTAGGGGCCCGTATGTCGTGAACGCACTAAACGCCACTCAGTCGCATACTTCAAAATGGTTAATGGTGTGTTCTGTGACGGTCACCTCCATTTTTAAAGACAATAACATATCTGTACCCCCAACACCCTACTTCAAATCGAAAATCTCTAACCGTGCTTTTTTCGATGCCGAGCATTTTCCTCGGGTGTGATTGGCTTTTCCTCTGATCGGCATTTCTTGGCGTGTTTGTTGCAAAAACCTGCTTCCCGGCGCACCGTCCACAGTTCGCAGGTCTCTTACGAAAGGGAGACGCTGCAAGATCTACCCCACGCCGTCCGCGTGCGGGGCCCGCTGGGCGTAACCCCTCCTCTCAGCTCTCCGGCGGCACAATTCTAGTGTCTGACGTTTACTGAGTCTTCCAAGACTGTAATTTCTTTTTCATAGAAAGAAACGCTCTTTCCTCATTCATACGCATCATCTTACGGTCACAGGCACGACCCCATGAGCAGGCTTGGGAGCCAGCCCGGGGTCAGAGAGCGTTTGCTGCAGCTGTGGGGGTGGTGAAGTGAATTAGGATCCGCACGTGGGCAGGGGAAACTCCCACGCCCACTGCTTTCACCGCCGACCCCCGAGGCCCACGCCCTGGGCCCAGTCTCAGGGTGACTTCCGTTTAGCGGCGCAGTCCCGAGGTCCTCGCAGGCAGGTCTCTGGGACCCCCGCCTCCCGCACCCGGGCCGGCCGGGGAGGAAGCAGCCCTAGGCCAACGGGAGCTGAGCCCACTGATGCATCCTGGTGTTTTAAAACTCGGTAAAATCATATATCGCATATGTCGCATGTGCTGTACATACACATTTTACATAGAATTCATGTATGTGCAGGTGGGTGGGAGGGGTGACGTCTGGAAGGTCCTCAGTGAGGCTCCTGGTGCTCCCAGGGCTCCACCGCTCTGCTAGGTTCAGGGTCACAGCTGAGTCTACCTGCAGGCCTCCCAGCCTCCTAGGCCACCAAACCCCTCGGACAGCAAGTGACAAAGTCGAAGCCAAGAGGGGAAGCCATGTGCCCGCGGCCACAGGCTATAAAAGGCAGAACGGGGCTTGAACCCACGTCTCCTGCCCTGTGGCTCCTTCCTTCCTCCGCAGAGCTCCTGGAGCAGCAGCCGCGGTGAGACCCGGCGGGCGGGGAGCCGGGAGAGGCGTTCAGGCTCCACCCCGCGCAAAAGCGGGCCTGGCGCCCCGCCAGGGGCGGAAAGAACGAGGCCCAGTCAATCAGCTCGGAAAAGGCAGAGTCGCACATAAAGAACGGCTTTGAGCCTGGTGGTCTCCATCTGTCGCAGATGCCACCACATGACGAGCCAAGCACGGCCCCTCCTCCCCAGCGGGCGCCCCCTGTGCGGAGATGTGAGCCTCGAATCAAATTAAGACGGAGCGGCTGTGCCTTGGAGATAAGGTGCCCCTCGGCCCACTCGGCTCCCAGCTGGGATCCAGGCTGCAGATTAGCGAGCGGCCGCGTGCGTGCTTCTGCGCCGCCTGCTGAGCTGGGGCTTCCAGGCCGTCACGGTGACGGGAGGGACAGCGCAGGGCAAAGCACACAGGCTGCCAAGCAGGACCCTGCCCTGAGAGCTCGAAGGTCCCGGCCCCAACTTTAAAACTAGGATGTAAGACTGTTCATTACTGCAGTGACGCTGCATCTCGCAGCACCCCAACACCAGGGGCCTCAAATTTGCGTTTATTTGGCTCACGGGTCAGCCCTTGGGGCTGGGCTCCGTCGCGTGGCTCTTCTGGTCCCCACTGGGCTCACCAGTGACACCCTGTGGCCCCTCGTGTCTCTGCTCTGGGCCGTCCCGGTTGGGGCCGGGGGCTGAATCTGGAGGTTACAGCCCCGGGATGGGCGTTTCCTGCTGCTGGGCTCCCGGAGGCTGGGTTCTGTTGCTGTGACCTGGGAGTGGCCTCGGGCACCACAGGCCATTCCAGCGCTGGGAGCGGGGAGGGGGGCAGGGAGCAGAATGGGCCCCCAAGATNACTGGGCTCACCAGTGACACCCTGTGGCCCCTCGTGTCTCTGCTCTGGGCAGAATGGGCCCCCAAGACGGTGACTCCAAGGGGGGAGCAAAGTCACATCGGTCCCTGACTGCTGTGGCTCAATGGTTAGAGAGTCAGTTCGCGTACAGAAGGGTCACGGGTTCGATTCCTGGTCAAAGGTATGTACCCAGGTTGCAGGTTCGCTCACCATCCCCAGGGGGGCCCATGAGAGAGGCAACCAGTCGACATGTCTCTCACCCTGAAGTTTCTCTCTCTTCTGCCCCCACCCCCCCGCTTCCACTTTCTCTGAAAAGCAATGGAAAAAATACCCTCAGGTGAAGATTAACCAAAAAACATCACATGCGTAGGCGCTCCTGTCCCCCCACGGCGCTCACCATGGGATGGCGCTGCTATGGCGATGAGACAGGGTGCTGAGCAGGAAGGGGCTGTGCTGGGGTCTGCGGGAGCCTGGGGGCAGAGTCCCTGCTCGGAGCTGGGCAGCCGCTCCCTGGTCTTCCCGCCTCACACCCGGCCTGGGAGCCCTGGGCCAGGCCCTGCGCCCGGCGGGGACCAGCCCACTCCCCCACCCCCCATCCCAGTGCAGGCCCCAGGGATCTCTGAACGCGGCCCCAGCAATTTGCAGGAGCATGTACCCAAGTAATGAGTGAGCGACCGGGTCCATTCCTCAAAAGTTATCTTTCGACAAGAGCATTCATCACATTTAATGAACGTGTCAGGGACTCTGGTGCACAGGATGGCTCCGGACGCGGGCCTGATAATACCAATTTTCTACATTAATGACGCGCGGCCCGGAGCACTGGGCAGGAAATGGACCGTCAGCGCAACCACGGCCAGAAAAGGGGGCGACTTCCTCCCGAAATCAAGGAGGCGCCTGGCTTGCGGGGGCCGCACAGTTTAGGCGAGTCCGGTGCCGAGACCCCGTGTGCCCGGCCTCGCCCGACCTCCAGGCAGCCGCCAGCTCGCTGAGCATGCANAGCTGGCTGAGCGCACTGTGCGCAGGCGCTGTGCCGGGTGCCGTCTCCAGCGGCCCAAGGCAGCCCGGGCGCCTTCGTGCGGAGTGGACGTTCCCGGGCAGGGCCAGGAGCCGGGGTGGGAGGAGGGGAGAGGAGGCGGCGCTGACCAGGGC